CCCCCCCGCCTTTGTCATCTTCTTTTTATTTTTTTAGCCAATTTTCATGAATAATTACCACGTTGGGGAAAAAAAAAAAAAAAAAAAGCAGGGACGTTCTAAAATCAAGTGAAATTAAAGATAGCATCATGAATAAGTGGGAGCCTGCAGCTCCCAAGAAAAGCTTTAAAATGACATTTAGAACATCACTGTCGGAACAATGCAGTTTACAATCCTGATCCTAAAACAACATGGCAAGATTAATCTTACATAAATGCATTATCCTTAAGCTAAAGTCTTGATGAAGTGAAACAGACCATTTTAAATTAATGCAACATAAAATATGGCACCCATGTAAAATCCAAGCAAGTTTCAAGCTGTGCCTATGGCAGCCCTCGAAATAGCTAAAGAAAGCCCAGCTCTGGTTGACATAATGTATTAAGTGCATCTCTTTTGTTAATAGATTTAGAAAATTCCTAATTAAACCTGGCCCGAGATTCATGACATTTACCAGTCAAAGTTTGGTTTAAGTCGGGAAGATTTGCAACAAAATTAAAGAAAAAAAAAGCCGCTGTACAGACCGCAGTATATTTGAAATGTAGGAAACAGTAACTGAGTGAGAGATGTGATAAAACTTCCTTAGTTGGATGCCGAATTTCCTGCAGTAAACCAAGAAAGATGCTTTACATTTTTGCACGGCTGCATCCCGCCTGAGAGACAGAGCCACCATTTCCAGGAGGAGGCATTCATCACCAAAACGTCTCCTATCGAACCGGCTCGACGTACACGGGGGTTGCGCCGAGCCAGGGGAGGAGGGAGGGAGGGAGGGGTGGTGGTGGCAGAAGCCTTGCCCCAAACGCCCTGGGTAAGAACTGCAAGAAATAGGGGGGGCAATTTGGGGTGTGATTTTGGGATGGACAGCCTGCGGGGCGCTGGGTGGCGGTGGAGCGGGGTGGAGCACACGGGGAGGGGGACACCCGTGAAAAGCGTCGTCCACCCGCCCTGGCAGGAGGGCGCAGGGGGAAGCCGTGGGTGGGTGCATGGACCCCTCCGAGACGCACGGCTGCGCTCCCAGCTTCACGCGGCAACAGCCCCCCAAGCTTCCACGCGTGCCAAAACCCACCCGGCAGCTCAGCCCCCTCGGAGCGGCACGGGCCCGAGGCAGATTTTGAACCAGCTGGTCCTGAGCTGGACCGAGCTCTCCCCGAAGTGACGTGGTTGCCAGTTTAAGAAGGAGGCTCTCTTCACTTCCAGCCCTTGAAAGGGGAAAAGCGGCAGGTCTTTTTTTAAGTGACACCTATCGCCGCTTTCGTACCAACTTCTAGGGCTCTTCGCCCGTTAACGGGGAAAAAAATCTGCGGGGATGGTAGGGGACTGCAGACAGATTACAGCGTGACAGGGAAATAAAGTGCAGGGATGGGGCACTGCTCCAGTGGGCTGGCAAAGGGGAAAGCGTTGGGACCAAGAACTACAGCTGCTAATCCCGCCTGTACCGCTCATAAACCAGCGGACACACAGTACACGCGTGGTACTCAGATGCCAGCACAGCAGCCTCCACCCTGCCTTGATTGTTTGCATTATAATCTCCATATGTATGAACGAGACAAATTAGGTTGCCATTTATTTGTTCATTATCTATTATTTTGATTAATGGAATTCTTGTTCTCAGAATAACTATTTAAAAATAACATTTGCAATAATGAGGAGTGAACTATTAATCATGATCTTTAGAAGAAACTCTGCAAGGAACTGGGGCAAGACATTTCATACGAACAAATGTCATAAATAGGACTTGTAACAGACAGCGCTGAAATTCCAAATGCAAAAAAAAAAAAAGCCCACCAAAACCCAACGGAACTCAGAAACCAAGGGTTTAATCTGTCCTCCCCTTCTGGCCAAAGCTGCTTTAGGACAAGCAGGGCTGGAGTGTTGCTGGAGTGTAAAAACATTAGAGGTAACAGATGCCCCAAGCTCCTTTACAATGTACATACATACATACATATATATATATAGTGTGTGTAAATATATGTGTGTGTATGTGTATATATATATATAGTTTATATATATATAGTGTGTGTGTATATATATATATCTATTTTTAGTGGCTGTATATATAGTTTTCTTGATTGTTCTTTCCCGTCTATCCCCCAAATTCTGCCTATTCACATTTATGCCATCTCACACGTATTGAACACTGCAAGAAATATTTAAAATATTTATAGTGGAAAAAATGAAGGCTCCTCAGTGAAGGTGGTTTTTACCCATCACCCAGGACCTGCACGCACCCCTCTCCTCAGGGAATGAGGCCCAAGTTCTGGGGTGTCCACAGCTCTCTCGCAGAAAGCACCATCACTGCCTTTTGGCACGGGGGGAAGCTTCAGCTGGAGATAGCCATGATATCAACAGTTCTTTTTTTTTTTTTTTTCTCTGGGCT